CAGGAAATTTGCCCAATTCATTATTATTTTCCTTGGACACATTGTGAGGTGAGGAGGAAAAGACCTCTGACTGGGAGTTGGGAGGCTTGGATCTGGGTCCTGGTACTGTACCTAAAGTGCTGTGTGTGTCCTTGAGCAAGTTTCTTAAGCTACCTCTTCTAGTCCTCTGTAGAATGGGAATGTTGTACTACATTGCTTATTTTCAGTAGTAGCAGCAGAACCCTTCCCCCCGTCAGGTATTTTGGATTGTTAGAATGATTGGTTGGAGCCAAGGACAGGAGCCATCCTCCCACAATGCACAGGATGGTCTTGAATAATCAAGTATCCCAGACCCACATAATAGTCACATGGCCTATCAGACATTCATGTGTGGGAAAAACCTAGCATTCCATTCAGAGTCAAAGCTAATTCCCTTTTAATTATAAACCAGATATTTCTTGCTGCTTGGGGTCAATATATGCCCACCTATCAGTTGTTACGGCTGTGTCCTCCTACCCTCGGGTTCCTTCATTTCCTTACGCTTACTCAGTCTTCACATCTTAACCCTATTGTTGATAGGTGTAAACCCTTAACTGCTTTATTATGTCTTTTAGTGTAGCTGTGCTGAGGCATTTGCATATTGAAATGCTATTATTTTGTAAATAATTTTCCTTACAACTTCTCTTTATTACCATATTCAGCCATTTTGTTGCTGAGTGCCATCAAGTTGGTTCTGACTCATAGTGACCCTGTATAGGGTTTCCAAGGAGCAACTGGTGAGTTTGAACCATCGACCTTGTGGTCCAAACCAACCTTGCAGTCCAGTGCTTTATTCCACAGCACCACATCAGGACTCAATATTCAACCATAATACTATTTTAAATTATTTATATTTGTTGTTGTTAAGTGCTGTTGAGTCAGTTCTGACTCACAGTAATCCTGTATAGGGCTTCTGAGGAGCAGCTGGTGAGTTTGAACTGCCAATCTTATGATTCAAACTGGCCTTGGGGGTCAGTGCTTATTCTATAGTGATGTTTATTATTAAACAGCACTTAATAACAACAACATATTTAGATATGGAACCCTAGTGTGGCACTGCACAGCA